CCGGCTCACCCGAGCCCCCTCGATAGGGGCCTCGGATTCACGATCTTTCTACGCCTTGCCCGTCGCCTCGCCGAGACCCCCTCGGAAGGGCCTCCGGATGAATTGGTGCGCTGCTCGCTTCGCTCGAGGCCGGGGTTCTCGCCCCACAACCTCGTCGCCTCCGCCTCAAAAGTCTCTGGCGGCAGTTGTCACATCCGACGCGCTCAAAGCACCCGCCACGTAAGCCACGATCGTAGTAAGGCCGCAACAGAGTGACGGACAATGGTCGATCACCTTTTTACCATCCCTCATCGACAATCTGGTATCAGATCCCGAGGGCGACGTCTCGCGACTACTATTCCGCTCGACGGGCCACCGAGACCAGATTCGCACTGGTCACTTCTCGGGCCTCGGCATGGCGGCTCGGCCTCGGACGACAGCCTCGACGCGGCAGCCCTAAGACAACAGAGCCCTCGGCATGACCGGCCACGATGGCGTTGAGCCTCTGCAATCCACCAAGTCAACAAATGCACAAAGATGTTACTTGCAGTGGAGACCATACCGATTAGACATCTACGGGAACTCCCACGACAATGCCATGCTGCTCTAGGAGTAAATACGTCATCGAATAGTCCGCTCCACATGTAGCTCTCTTATGTACTCCTGGTTTCCTCCCTGCGGCTATAAAAGGAGGCGGCCAGGACCGTTTCTAGGGACGGCGGATAGAGTCACGAACACTCGCACGAACAACACGCCGCATTCTGTAATTCATATCACCTCTCCTCACAGAGACTTGGGACGAACTCCCTCTCTCGCCTAGCTTGTAACCCCCTACTACGAACACCCCGGTGCAAGGAATACAAGAACATCTTCTCAGATTGGACGTAGGGCATCCATTGTCCGAACCAGTATAAACCTTGTGTCTCTTTGCATCACCATCCGGAATTGGGAGCACGCAGCACAAATTCACTAGTCGGTTAAGGACCCCCGGTTCCGAAACACCGACACTAGGGGAACTCCTGATCGCCCTCTCGCTACGTGCGGAGGCTCAGGGGCTCTTCCTGCAACCTTGCCGAGACCCAGCGGCCTAGGCTCGCACACGAAGGGCTCGGCAAACAACCCCTCCTTCCGAATGAAAAGGATGCGCGAGGGTCGTACAAGAAGCCAGGAGAACTCCTGACCACCCTCTCGCTCTGTGCGGAGGCTCGGGGGCTCTTCCTGCTAACCTTGCCGAGACCCAGCGACCTAGGATCGCACGCGAGGGCTCGGCAGGCTCGGGGGCTCCTCCTGCACCCCAAACGAAAACAAGCGACCCGAGCTCGCTCTCATGGGTCTAGCGAATGCGATAGAGCGCCTTACTCAACGAAGAAAAAGCCCCTAAAGGAGTAAACTCACTCCTCTAAGGCCTCGGGGGCTACACCCGGCGGGTGCGCTCGCGCGCACCCTTCAGAATCGCAAGTATAAAACAAACCCGACAAGAGCCACTGAGAAACAAAAGTCTCGAAAAAACCTCGGGGAGAGTATCCCACACTTCCGCCCGAGGCTCGGGGGCTACTGTCGGATACCAGAAAATGGGGTACCCCAAGCAAAGATCGAAAAAGCGCTCGAGACCCTAAGAATAGAACCAACGGAATAAATAAATGAGGTCTCGGCCGAAATCTCCGATTCGCCCGAGACCCCATCGCCGAGCCCCAGCAGGCGAACGATTCTCCGACCGCTTGAGACCGCCCGCCGAGCCCCCTCGTCGAGGCCCCCTCGCCGGGGCCTCGGAAGAAGTCTTGATTCTCCGATTCACAGGCGAGGCCGGGCTCACACCAGCCCGTGACCGCCTCGTCGACCAAACCGCTCGACCGAACGTCGCATCCAAGCGCCCAACCACTCCGACAGACGCGACGATGGCACAAGACAGTGAAGTGACCGACTACGCGCCGATCGCGTCAACCTCCGCCATCTACGACAGCGACAGAGCGAGGGTTACCGCCATCGTGTCTTGCCTAACTCATGCACCAAGGACATCCATAGCGTGGGAGAGTCGAGCGGGTTCCTGTAGAGCCTCGGAATCGGCCGGACCGACCGCTCGGCTCGCCCCCCCCCCTCGACAGGCCTCTTTGATTCGCGATCTTACTCCGCCTCGCCCGTCGCCTCGCCCGAGACCCCCTCGGAAGGGCCTCGGGACGAATTGGCGCGCGCTCCACCTCGCGCCCGAGGCCGGGCTCAAATCCCATAACCTCGTCGCCTCCTCCTCAAAAGTCTCTCCGGCAGGATGTCACATCCGACACGCGCCAAGAAGACCCGCCACGTAAGCCACGATCGGCGGTCTTGCCGCTGCAGCAGCAGAGCGACGGACAACGGTCGATCACCTTTTTACCATCCCTTCATCGACAATACAGGTATCAGTATCCAGAGACACATCGTCTCGACTATTTCGCTGACGACGGCCACCGAGACCCGCAGATCTCGCACTGGGTCACTTCTCGGGCCTCGGCATGGCGGTGCCTCGGCCTGACAACAGGCCTCGGCACGCAGAGGCCTCGCAGACAACAAGCCTCGGCACGCAGGCCCCGGCACACGACGCTACCACGATGGTCGTCAAGCCTCTGCAATCCACCAAGTCAACAAATGCACAACATGTTACTTGCAGTGGAGACCATACCGATTAGACATCTACGGGAACTCCCACGACAACGCCATGCTGCTCCAGGAGTAAATACGTCATCGAATAGTCCGCTCCACGTGTAGCTCTCTTATGTACTCCTGGTTTCCTCCCTGCGGCTATAAAAGGAGGCGGCCAGGACCGTTTCTAGGGACGGCGGATAGAGTCACGAACACTCGCACGAACAACACGCCGCATTCTGTAATTCATATCACCTCTCCTCACAGAGACTTGGGACGAACTCCCTCTCTCGCCTAGCTTGTAACCCCCTACTACGAACACCCCAGTGCAAGGAATACAAGAACATCTTCTCAGACTGGACGTAGGGCATCCATTGCCCGAACCAGTATAAACCTTGTGTCTCTTTGCATCACCATCCGGAATTGGGAGCACGCAGCACAAATTCACTAGTCGGTTAAGGACCCCCGGTTCCGAAACACCGACAGTTGTCTTTTGGGTTTTGTTGTCGGAGAAGACCAAAAATAGGTATTAAACCTTTTACCTGTAGTGCTACCCGAAGGACGAATGAGTCTTGTATTTTGGGTCACGATTATTGAAGACAGTCTTACGACACACTAAAAGCGTCTCTCATGAGATGACTAGGAGTACTATCCAGCCAATCCAGGAGATAACGAGGGGATTGGTTCTATTCTAAGTTTCTCACCGTCTAGACTCCGAGCATACAGATAAGGTCATGACACGCTCAGATTTCTTCTACTATCCCATGACTCTGTCATATATACTGCGGAATATGCCAATTTGGGTCGACAGTCGTCTGTGCCCCTGTATACGTTTCAGTTACCCAAGCATTTCATGGGAGAAAATTGAATATTTGACATCCAATCTGGACGCCCGTGAACATTTGACATCCAATTCGCGCGTCGTTGAAAATTTAACACTCTGGCTACGAATTCGTTGAAAACATGTGTTTTCTCCTCCTTTTCTCCATTTAACATTTTTTTCTTTTGCTTTCCAAGGCAACGTACCTTAGCCTTATCCATCCATTTCTTCTTAGAAACGAACGCATCTCTCTCTCTCCCGTACTTATTTTTCTTCGGCTCTGTTCGTCACGCCGCCGCCGCTCTTCTTTGTTCTTCACGCCGCCGCTGCTGGGTGCCGGAAGAGGCACTGCCGCTGGCTGGGCGCGGGGCCGGTCGCCGGTGCTGGACGAGCCGGCCATGCGTGCGCGCGGACGGTTGCCGGTGCTGGGCGCCGGCGCTAGCCAAAGCCCGCCGTCTTCGGCTCCGTCGCTGATGGTGGCCGTCGGTGCAGGCCAGAGGCGCCGCAATGGTCGAGCAACAGCAGGCAAGGTATTTGGTCATTCAGCGTTGCCTTGGAAAGCAAAAGAAAAAAGAAAAAAATGTTAAATTGAGAAAAGAGGAGAAAACACCTGTTTTCAACGAATTCGCAGCCAGAGTGTCAAATTTTCAACGACACGACGAATTGGATGTCAAATATTCACAGGCGTCCAGATTATGTGTCAAATATTCAATTTTCTCATTTCATGGAGGGCGAGTTCATTCTACCGCTTCCACACGACGTACGATGCATAAAAACGAGGGGTCAGAGGTTGTAGCGTAGCGGTAGCAGACGCAAGAGAGAGTATTTTTTTTGTACCCCCGACCGGGGCCTGCGGGCAGGCGCGTATAGCCAAGCCGCGCGTATATGCGAGACGCTGGAGCACGCAGAGGCCGCGGACGCGGCCAAGCCCCGCTTTTGTGCCGATTCGTGCGCGACAAACGGCAATTTGAGGGGAGGGCGTCGGCACATGCGTGGCTGCCCAGCCCAGCCGCGGCGGCGACGCAGGCCGAGCGAGCGAGATCGCGCGAGGAAGTGGCCTGTGGGGGCCTGGGGGCCTTTCACGAGGGCACTGTACTGTGCGCGCTGGGCGCTGGCTGCTTCTTCACCCGGCCGGCGTGCGTGACTCGCCGCCCGTTCCGAATGGGACGTGTACTGTGCGCGCTGGTACCGGGCGGCCGGGCCTGCTCGACCTCGATCGTAGGCGTAGCCCTGCTCCATCATTCCCCAGTGGTCCCCTTGTTTATCATGCAATCGAGGGCCACAACGGATCCAGCCATCCAGGGAATCCGCACGGACTTATGTGCAGAGCCGTGGTCATCGAAGTTAGCTACCGAGGCGGTGCATGGCATGGGCGTATGATGTGGTCTGCTCAATGCTCACGCCATCACAGTGGCACAGAAGATCAACATTCCTTCGTAGCTTGCCCATCCAACAGCGTGACAAGAAAAGCGTCGCCCTAGGTAGCTAGCCACCATTCCATGCTGCTGCATTCCTTCCACTTCTGCCACGGTCACTCCTTCCATACTATACAGTCTCGTGCAGCTATAGCGAGTTCCCCTTCCAAGAAATGGCCGCGGCGGAAGCAGCCTCCTCCGCGCCAGCTCCCGAGCGTCTCCTGGAGGTGGAGGAGGACGAGGTGGTGATCGACTTCAAGCCCAACGCCAAGTGCCGCGCCGACCTCCGCCTCCGCTCGCTGCACCCGTCCCTCCCCGTCGCCTTCAAGGTCCAGACCTCCTCCCCGCTCAAGTTCCTCGTCAGCCCGCCGCGCGGCGCCGTGCCGTCGCTCTCCACGGCGTCCCTCCGCGTCGTGCTCCGCCCGCAGCCGCACGCGCCGCCGTCCTTCCCGCGCTCCCGCGCCGACCGCTTCCTCGTCCTCTCCTCGCTCTCCGCGGCGCGCCTCGACTCCGCCGTGGGCGGCAGCAACGACGACGGCGGCGGCGGCGGAGGCGGAGTCAGCGCCGTCCGCCTCCGCGTGTTCTTCGGAGGGCCGTACCTGCTGCGCCTCGCCGCGGACGCCGGCGACGCCGCGGCCGTGCGCCTCATCCTGCGCCGGCAGCCGCACCTGCTGCCGTTCCTGGAGCACCTGCAGGCCGAGGCGCCCGCCGACGCCGAGCAGTGGGCGCCGCAGCCGCTGCCGCTGCACGCGGCGGCCGCGAGGGGGGACTGCGGGGAGGTGAGGCGGCTGGGGCCCGAGGCGCTGGCCGCGCGTGACCGCGAAGGGAGGACGGTCCTGCACGCTGCGGCCGCGGCCGGCGAGGCCGAGGCAGTGGCCGTGCTGGTCGACATGGGCGCCGACACGTCGGCGGTCGACGCGCGCGGGAGGACTCCGCTGGACGTGGCCCGCGAGAAGGGATACGTAAGCGATCGACTTCGAATCTACCTGCTTGTCCTTCTTACTGTCCTGTACCAACAACACTCGCGCATCGACTTCGGATGCTGCTTCTTTAACCGGACACAGATTCATTCGCCATGTACAAACAACCCTTACGGTAAACCGCATATTCTAATCTGTCACTAACGAACAGAACACGGGAAGAGAGACAAGTAATCACGCCATGGACCAGCTTCAGGCTGCACGCAACTTTTGGCTTATGCGAGCCGCGTAGTTGTGCTCGTGAATCATGACAGGAACGGGTCGAGTAGGACGAGCGATAGTATTAGCTAATGCAAGGTCATTCTTGTCCAATAGCGTAACGGCGGTGTTGTTTTGCTGGGTGCAGCAAGAAGTGGTGGACGTCCTGGAACGGTGGGAGCTGGTCATGACGGCGGCGAGGCGAGGCGACCTCGGGAGCCTCGAGTCCCTGCTCAGCAAGCGCGCGGGCATCCGCGGGCGCGACCAGTACGGCCTCACGGCGCTCCACCTGGCGGCGATCAAGGGCCACTGCGACGCGATCGCCCTGCTCGCCGGGTCGGGCTGCATGGACGTCGAGTGCGAGGACGTGGAAGGCCACAGGCCGCTGCACCTCGCGGTCGAGGGCGGCCACGCCGAGGCCGTGGAGCTGCTGCTCGACATGGGCGCCGACGTCAACGCCAGGACCAGGCGCGGCGCCACGCCGCTCCAGATGGCGGAGGCCATGGGGTACGAGGCCGTCGCTCAGGTTCTGTGCGCTAGAGGCGCAGAGGTGGCTGCTGCACCGGCGTTGTGCGTCGCGTCGTCGTCTTCATCGTCCATATCGTGCGCCTGATTTGGTTTGCTGGTTTCAGAAGAGTTGGGAGGGTTGGAAGGACACGAAACTGCACTGTACTGTATAGTCTAAAATTAGTTGTTTGTTTGCTTTATTGGGAGAGACGAGTGAGTAGCTCATTATTTAAGGGGACGGTCGATTGGCTGCCTTTGCTATACGCAGTGTGCTGGTGAAAAAAAGGCATGCAATTGCAGTGCTTTACATGTTGATGTTATTGTTGTGGTGTGTATTACTATGCAGGAAAACATCTACTGTTCCTCACTCATCATATTATTCAGCTTAGAAAATAAACAAAAGTAGCATTTGGCGTAACTGGGAACATCAAACAAAATAAACAGCCTATAAAATTGCAAAAATCAGACCAACAGTAGTACACGGATTAACCAGTTCTTCATCCGAATACAATTCCAGTTTCTAGCACGGGAGAAGAGTTAAAATACCACAAGAGTAAGCGTTCAAGGTCTGCCAATATTTTGCTCTCACTATAAGAGGGAACCGAAGTAAGTTTTGCTCCATATCACAGTTTGCAGCCAACTTGTATGCTCTCGCTATAAGAGGGAACCGATGTAAGTTTTGCTCCATACCAAAGTTTGCAGTCAACTTTGTAATCATCTAATATAGCTACGGAGGAAATGAACTAAGCACTCTCCCTTTATTATCCAGAACATCAGTGACAACGGAAAGTTATATTTTGTTAGACTATACTACTTATCAGAATGATACATGATTTAGTTCAGACCTTCCCAACCAGCATTGATAAGTTTTTTCCTCGTTTTCTTTTAGGTATATCAATTCCACAATATCCGAGCACCATGTCCTGGAAAATGATAGAATAAGGGAGCTTCTTCTTCTTCCTGCATCAGATAAATACAGAGTCAGATGCTAAATAGATGAATAACCGGTTCTATTGCCGTTTACAATTGGCAATTAGAGTAAACTTTCGGATTAAATGCTTACCAGTAAAAACTTGCACCAACCCACCGGTTGAGGATAGACACTATGTCAACAATTCTATACAAGAACTAGAAAGAAGCAACGGCTTCCGGATTAACGCAAGATGGCCTCTTTGCATTGTAGTAGAATGGGCAATCATTTGAGCCAGCTCATCTGCAGTCCTTATCTCTGATGAATATGTGAAAGACAATCACGTTGTGACTTATTAGTAGAACTCTTGGCAACTGAAACTTCAAGGATTGCAAAAGGTGGCAATTTTATTGATCGCCACCTTACTTTAAACAATAAACATCATATTGGAATTTTATAATGCCAAAGTTATTAAAATTTTCCTTGTGAAAATTTATTAACGTTTCCTGTTTTTGAGGACTTTTCATGGAAAATAAATTGAGAACAAAATAGAGAAATAAAGAAGAGGTCTCCTTGTCATCTTGACATAGGAGATGAAGGGCCTGTTTGGCTGGTAGAAACCACAAAAAACCCTGCCAAAGAATCCAAATCTAGGTGTTTCAAAACAGAAACTGGCCGAAATGTTTCTCCTTTTTACATTGCAAGTACAGGATAAATTACTCCAAGAACCAGTTAGCCAAATAATTTTCAAGAAACAAAAACCCTACCAAAGAAACATTTCATGGAGAATTTGTAACAAAAAAAAACTGTTTTTAAAGAAACTGGATCCCTACCAAATGGACCCAGAGGATAGCTCTGGGGATGACATGGAGGGAGTTAGAGAGACAAGGACTACATCCATGCCCATCACCCCCGCTACGTGAAAAGCTCCTCTGCCTGATCAAGCACAGAAGAAAACCATCCCCATCTGAGTTTCTCAACTCTTCTCTGTATCTCAAGGTGTCTGCCAAGTAACCTTCATCCAGATGAGTGCTGCTCCAGCAGGATGGGCCGAAGCCCAGAACAGCGTCCTTCCAAGCACTGGTGTTGCAGCCCATGCAGAGCCATTGGCCTGCATCTGTTCAATGTCAAGGACTGATGTTTGGATTTCAATTGGGTTGGATTGGTCCTGTGTGTTGGTTCTAAACTTCTCATCATTTCGATCACTGACTGTTTTGTCCATCAGTGTGACCTTGCACAGATTGAATTGTCGCTGCTCCTCTTAAGGTGTACACATTAGGCTGGTCGTTTTGTATCCATGGTGTTGTTGTGCCACATCTAGGTATCAAGCTTGTCGGACGGCCTGCCACAGGGCAGAAGAGTGGTGTTGTATCTCCAAGATAAAATACAGGGATCCTGCAGCAACAATGGGGGTGTAATTGATCTCTGGGACAGTGATTATCGACTTATCGTGCTTCACCATCCGCTGACTTTGACTGTGAGACTAGACTCCATCCTTTTTGCTTATTGACGATGTTGCACTGCGAACTTGTGTACACCAACTAGTACATAATGCATATTATTGGTATATCAGAACAGTAGCAGTAATTAAATAAGGCAGAATGGTGATCAGCCTGACAGTGCAACGGCACAAAAAGTTGTCTGAGTGGTCAAGTGAGATAACTTGCTGTCTCAACAAATGCATCCCCATGGATGCAGTAAGTTCCCAACATCTGTTCCCAGAGATAGGACACCATTTTCCTACAATCTGTAACAAGACATCCGGCAAGGTTGAGGACCGGGAGATAGGACGCACGTGCTGGCCAAGTCCACACATCTCAGAGAAGAGCAATCAGAACTGGTCACACCAACAAAGAAAGCAGTCCACAAGCCAACTGGATTGGGATCAATGCAAACCAATCCAACCAAATCAAATTCACTAAAATTTGTCCACAAACTGTACAGGTAGAGCAACCAGCCAATCAGGACACACAAGTAGTGCCGCTAGAGAGTGAATATGTTGAGAGGTGCTCCCCTAACATGGTGCAGAAAGCTAAACATGAGTTTCAAGCAACTTTATTCATAGAAGTCTTTTGCATAGCAGCATGGATCATTTGGATTGGAAGCAAAGGAGCTCTCATTTTTCAGCGAACTCCTCCTCGCTTTCAAGGCTGCAAGACAGGATTTTCTCGGGTCTGTTTGGTTCATGACCTGGCAGGCAGCAATCCTGGCCGCCAGGCGACCAAATCCGACGGCCTGGGATTGTTGCCTGGCAGGCAAACCTGACTGGGCGCAGAAGCCAGAACTAAACACGCCCAAAATTTCACTGCAGTTACACAGGATTGAAGGACCTTTAGATTTTTTTGTTCTTCAATTTCCTCTCTTTTTGTGGGTTGTAGTTGTTTCAGCCCTACGCTTCCTGTATAGATACTTTTCTTTTCTTAAATTGTGCAACAATTTTTCACCTCTCTCTCTAGGAATTTCCTCTACTATTTTTCCTTTTAAACAAAGAGGTGCTCCCCTGATCAGCACTGCAGGGTGATGTCGCTGGTGCAGTGATGCTGGGGCTGGAACAGAACTGGATGGACCTTTCAGCATGGAGACGAGACCTTCGGACATAGAAGAAAATGGAGGAGGAACTCCAATGGGAACCCAGTTCAGGAGCTCACCCTTATGGGCCACATGGGCGTATAAATTGGGATGGAAATGCGTCCTTTGCTCCATTGTGGAGAGGATCAAGTCATAGATCTCCTTTTAGCTCCAAACTTCTAACCGGAGTTTTCTCTTCCTCTCAAATGTCACGATGATAAGTAGGTCTCACCTCTACTCAATGTTATCAAGTCGTCTGACTAATGGTGACTAGTCACGATTAGTTGGGCTGATCGGTGCCATTGCCGATCAGCTATGCACTATGATTAGTCACGATTAATCATAATTAGTCGGGCTGATTGGTGCCATGGCGACTAGGATCGATTAGACAATTTGATAACATTGCCTCTACTTCTCTATTTTGTTTCCCAATTAATTTCCCATAAGAAGAAAGGTAATCCTCAGTAATTTTTTTTACAGATTCTCACAAGGACAATTCGAACTATTAACAAATATAAGGGGTGGCTAGGTTAGGGTGTTAGTTTGACATACCTTTTTCTCTGTATAAGATCTTGTTTCCCCTAAGGAACAATAACTGTGGACATTCTCTTACTTGAAGTGCATATGCCAAATCTCTCTCAATATTTATATCAACTTTGACTGTCTGTTAAACAAAACAAAACTTAGGACCTGCACAAAGAAAAGATTAACCCGGCCAAATAATCAAAAGATGCTATTCAAACTTACCCGAGGAGGTAAGCGATCTTTGGCATTCCAGTATACCTTAGCGGCCTTTTCCAATTCTTGAAGAAACTTCCAATTGTCAGCAGCCCTGCAAACCACAACATCATGCAGGGTTCAATACTAATTACTAAACAACAAAAGCCTCCTGCAAATAAACTAATAAATTTCACCCTAAGCATCGTGAGGAATTCCAGAATGTGAAGCCCGTTTTGCCGTTTATTTGTCAGTACCAGGACTGGATTTTCTAGGCTCGTTTGGTTCGCACTTCACAGACATCCGCATCACAAAATGCAAAGCTTAAATAGCGACTGAATTACACACAGCCAGCTCCAAGCAAAATGCCAACAGTTTATGAATCAAATCAGACAGGGGTGGATGGTTTTTACCTGTTGTAGCGCTCGAAGACTAGGACGACTAAGGGGCTGGGGTGGAATGCGAAGCTCTCCCACTCCAAGCAATTGATTTCCTTGACCCATCCCTCGTCGACCTCCCCTTCCCAATCGATCTCCACCCCGTCCACCGTGACATTTCTGATCGAGTGCTTGTCGAAGTACTCTGACGCCCGGATCCCCCACCCGACATCGGCATCCAGCGGCCAGCTCGGGTCCTCCTCTTCCACCACAGGCTTCTGTTCTCCCTCTCCCTCCCCCTCCTCCTCGTCTGGTACTTGCTCCTCGTCGGCCTTCGGCTTCAGGATGTCGCCTTTGCCCTCGAGGACGTCGGGGTTGCGCTCCCGGATGGAGGCGAAGACCTGCTCAAGGCGGCCGCGGACGAAGTCCTCCACGGCCGCCGCCTCACTGCGGCGCCCACGGCGTGGCTTCCGGGGCTTGGTCGTGGGGAACCCTGCCTCGGTGGAGTCATCCAGATTCCGGCTGCGAGCCTCA